AATCTGTGTGAAATATTTTGACTTTTTAAATACATTTTTAAGGAAATTTTTTAAACCGGTACTTCAATAAAATTCTTTTCATTTTATACTTTTACTTGTACTTGTACTTTACAAAATGTAGTACTTTTTCCACCACTGGGTTTGGACATGGAGGAACACTTGGGTTATCACTTAATGACATCACGAGGTGGAACCAAGCTGGAAACAAGTACAAATGTGATCAAATATAAAAAACTATTTTGTGATTTCTCTGTATAAAAGCCGATTTACATCAGCATGAAAGTTCTTTGGGACTCCACCTATTTGTCGAGGACATTAAAATTATTATAATTTCCATTTTTCTTTTTCTTTTTGAGGGATATTTCTGACTAAAAATACTTTCAAACTGTTATTACTGATGTTTGTTTTCTACTTGTTTTCCATATAAACAGCTTTGACCAGCAGAGGGAGCTGTCTCATCTCTAATGGACCATTTATGTAGAAGTGGAAGTCAACAGAACAGATGTTTAAATCCCTGAATAATGAAGCATCTTGACTTCATTTCCCATGATGCATCAGTGTGTCTATAGTGTGTATCCTGCTTTAGTAATCGTTTGGTTCTGGTTTAAGTCCTGGTTTAGTCCTGGTTTTGTCCTAGTTTAGTTCTGGTTTAGTCCTGTTTTAGTTCTGGCTAAGTTCGAGTTTAGTCCTGGTTTAGTTCTGGTTTAGTCCTGATTTAGTCCTGGTTTAGTTCTGGTTTAGTCCTGCATTAGTTCTTGTTTAGCCCTGGTTTAGTTCTGGTTTAGTCCTGCATTAGTTCTGGTTTAGTCCTGCTTTAGTCCTGGTTTAGTCCTGCTTTAGTACTGCATTAGTTCTGGTTTAGTCCTGTTTTAGTCCTGGTTTAGTCTTGTATTAGTTCTGGTTTAGTCCTGCTTTAGTCCTGCTTTAGTCCTAGTTTAGTCCTGGTTTAGTCCTGCTTATATTTGTTCTGATACAGTTCATTCTAAAGCTTCAGGAAAGGTTCATTTCTGTCCTGTGAATTGAACTTTTTCAGTATCGATACCTGCTCAAACGAGTATTTAGTCTCGATACTAGTTTTAATATCAATACTTATCTAATTTCCGATACTTCTGCCAATCCCACTGGTCTAAATTCTGAACAGCCTCTTTATTCTCAGCTGATTACACAAAAACAACAAAACCACTTTATTTTTTAGCCTTGGAATTGTGTAAATATTACCTAACTTTTTTTTTTTTTTATCTTTTTGTTGATAAAATTCTGAGACAGTGTGCAGATCAGCAGACCGTCTCAGCCCGGGGGATCTGGGTTAGACCTGGTTCAGACCACGGACAGAACAGAGCAGAGACGATGCCTTCAGGGACCGCTGTAAATCTGGCCTCTGCTCTGATAAACAAGAAGTGTGCACCGTCAGCGTTCTGGATAATACGGGTTAAATATAGGCTGTCCTGAAGCTTTGTAAACAAAATGGTTCACTCAAGAGTTATGACTGCATCTCCCATGATGCACCTTGTGATGGATCAGTTATAAAATTGTCCCGTTTTAGTCCTGGTTTAGTTCTGGGTTAGTCTTGTTCATATAATTTTGTTATAAAAAGTGTGTTTCTTTAAAGAGCTCATATTACGCTTAGGGCTGGGGATTATTAAGAAGACGTCGATACGATACATACCTCGATACATAGGCCACGATACGATACATACCTCGATACATAGGCCACGATACGATACATATCTCGATACATAGGCCACGATACGATACATACCTCGATACATAGGCCACGATACGATACATATCTCAATACATAGGCCACGATACGATACATATCTCGATACATACATAGATACCATAGATACGATACATATCTCAATACATAGGCCACGATACGATACATATCTCGATACACAGGCCACGATACGATACATAGGCCACGATACAATGCATACCTTGATACACAGACCATGATACGATACATATCTTGATACATAGGCCATGATACGATACATATCTCAATACATAGGCCACGATACGATACATATCTCGATACATAGGCCATGATACGATACATATCTTGATACATAAGCCACGATATGATACACATCTCGATACATAGGCCAGAATGCGATACATATCTCGATACTTAGGCCACGATATGATAAATACCTCGATACATAGGCCTTGATACGATACATACCTCGATACATAGGCCTTGATACGATACATATCTTGATACATAGGCCACGATACGATACATATCTCGATACATAGGCCACGATACGATACATATCTCGATACATAGGCCACGATACGATACATACCTCGATACATAGGCCATGATACGATACATATCTCGATACATAGGCCATGATACGATACATACCTCGATACATAGGTCACGATACGATACATACCTCGATACAGTGAGCTTTCGAATCGATATATTTCAGTATATTTCAAATCTATTTGATACGGTTCAATAAAAATAATGGCTGCGATACTGAAAGTC